TCACGCAGCTCATGATGGAACTGGACAAACTGTTCAAACATGGTTAGTTCTTGGTGCAGGGGCTCAACATTGTCACCTTGATAATCAAATCCTTGGTCGAAGATACTGTCATCACGCTCGTCCTCGACGATCATGTTGTGCATGATCACACAAGCAGTCATCACCTCCCAAAGCTTTCTTTCATCCCATGACAGTGCAGGGTATCGAATGATACCCTATCGGGATTGAAGCACACCAAAAGCACGTTCCACATCCTTTCTAGCACTCTCTTGCATTTGGGCAAATCTCTTTCTCTTCTCACCTTGGGGCTTCAAGATTGTCTTTACAAAAGTTGACCACTGAGGATATATACCATCAGCTAGATAGTATCTCTTGTTGTACTGGTGGTCGTTGATCTCAAAGTTGACATGTGGGGAGTGGCCTTCTGCAAGCCTTGCGAAGACTGGAGAACGCTGCAGCACATTGATATCGTTGTGAGAACTTGTCATGCCAAAGAAAGAATGTCATATCCAAAGATCCTGCAAAGCCACCGCTTCTAATATGACAGTGCAAGCTTTGACATGCCCCTCGTACTGGCCCTGCCAAGTAAATGGACAGTTCTTCCACTCCCAGTGCATACAATCTATGCTGCCAAGCATGCCTGGAAAGCCTCTAGCTGTGTTGGTCGCCAACAATCTCTCTGTATCAGCGACAGTTGGCTGCCTCAAGTACTCAGGGCTAAACACCTCGATCATAGACTGGCAGAATTTGTACATTGACATCAAACATGTTGTCTCACTCATACGCACATACTCATCCACCAGATCACCTGGAATTCCATATGCAAGCAAGCGGATGGCCGCGGTGCATTTCTGGTAAGAGGAGAATCCAATCTTGCCAAGGGCATCCGTCTTGCACTCGAAGTATGGGTCATGAGCAACCACTCCCTCTCGGATACGATTGTACACATGCCTTTCCATACGAAAACGGCGACGAAATTTATCCGGCTTGAACAACAGGGTGTCCGCAAAGTAATCAGCATAGAGTAGGGTGTGGCCTCTCTCCCTGTTGTGTTTCAGGTTGGGAGCACGGCCAATGACTGGCCCCCTGTACCGAGGAAGCTGCGGTTGAATGTGGTCGTGAACCACCAGTGCAGCCACCACAAGATCTTCATCATCCGATGACGAATCGTCCGATGAACAAATGAAGTGGTGGAAGAAAAACTCATCACCACTGTCCATACCTTTGTGGGCAAAGTGTCGAACACCTTGCGGTCGTGGTGGCAAAGAGGTCGCGATGATCCCCTCGATGCAGGGGTGGTTGGTGGTCGGCTACTGGCCGCTCTGGAGCACTCGTCGGAAGCTGTCGTGGCCGCCGTGGTATGTCGCATGCGGTCGTATCCCCTCTGCCGCCGGCTACGACGGCGAAGGCCAAACCTCCTCCGATTGATGGCCTAAACTACGGCGAAAGCGCGGGCGTGGTGGCAGCCATGTCTTGACGTGGTCTGGTATGGACGGCCGGTGGCTGAGTGGAGGAGGCAGCCGAAGAATAGCGGCGGCGCCGTCGGCGGGGCGGGGCGGTAGAGGGGGTGAAGGCGTTGGAATCGAATGGGACTACTTGTGTCCCCGACAGGCGGGCCACGGGGGGACAAGGGCGTGTGGCGAGTCCGTCCGCGCGATGTCCGTTTCACCCCAAACTCGGCGCAAGTTTGGGCCCGGGATGGGTCGAAAACGGACGGAATCCGGACATTTGTCCGTTTGGGGCCGCGCGGTGGGCCGCGCTATTCGTCCGTTCTACTCCAAACGGACGCACCCGAACAAGATGGGGTCGTGCAGTGGAGATGGCCTTATATCCTCCCTATATTTGTCCTTAATATGAGAGTTCACAGACAGTAGTGATGATATGAGGGGTCTGATTGAGTCATATTTTTGTATTCTCTCTTCTATCCGGTCACTAATCAGACACGTACGCGGATGTTTGAGGAGATTTAAAGATGCCGGTTATAGATGCTCTTACTTTTGAAAGACACAACCATATTCAGCTTTGATCCGGCAAAACCCCTCCTCGCGCGCCGTAGTAGTAGAAGTGGGAAGCGACTACGCGCGCGTTTGCTTCCCTTCGTCCGTCCCCGCGCGCACCCACCCCGAAGAAGATCCGGTCCGAAGCGGCAACTGAACTGAAGGCAGCCAGCGTCAGACGTGACCGCATGTCGCTTCCCCGCAGTCCAAATTATTGCGGCCAAAACTGTCCGGATGAAAAGAGAAAGCAAAGGCAGATCCCGGACCGTGGTGTGACAGCAACAGAGCCTCTCTCCCCCCACTTTTCCCCGACCTGCCCTGCGCGGGAGAGTTGACATGCATCGAACACACACGAATTTTCACTCTCAGCTCCGAGAATAAACGTCCCAGATGGGAACAAAGCGTTCCTTGGGGGCGTCAGGCATCGTGTTCATGCTACATGGCACTTGCCAGGACATACAAATAGAATAATTGGCGGGAGGAAGAGTCTGGGTCAAGGCGTCCGTGTACAGTTCGGTTGTTGTGGTCCTTGTGGATAAGCATGAACGGCGCCGGTGCATGCATCATCGGTGATGTCCCTTGCTCTCCAGCCCCCCCGTCTCTCCTCGGAATTCAACGCAACCCCCCGCCGTCTCTCTCTTTATCGCGAGTAGAGTAGGGACTGCTGGGGAGGGAGAGCTGCAAGCGCAAAACCTCTCCATGATCGTCACCTTCTGTTTTCTGTTTTGTCCTTCAAGCTGGGTACCATCCTTCTGCTACATATGATTTCAATTTTGTGAAGATCAAAAGGAAGGCTAATGGCGTTGCTCACGAGATTATAAGGTTTAGTTTTGTATCAGGATCAGATACTGAGTAGTATTCCGCCCTGCGTGGTTCATTTTCCGACGAACGATTGTAAGACTACTATTTCAGTTTTTAAAAGGGAAAGTACATATGCTTAGTGTGATTGATACTTGTACAACGATATTATTTCTTATTAAAATAACAACATGGTCTTTAGAAACATAGTACAGGAGGCACACCGCCATAACCACGCATGAGGGGGAAAGACAGACGACTAGGGTTTCCCGAGCTAGGCAACTGCTTTGAAATGAGAATTTTCGACAGAGATCGTTCCTTCAGGTTAGTAATCGATTAGATCTATTTTGACTAAGCTTAAGCATGGCTTGCCATTTTGATGCTCATGCAGCCGCCGTTGGCGGCGAGGTGGAGAAACCATGGTTTAATTTGTGGATTGGCCGTGGAGTTTGGGTTGCTCTACCAATGGCTAGGATAGTAGGGTTCAGTCTAGGTGTCTCATTGGTGCTGGTGAGGTGCCAAAGGCGTGATTGGTGTTGGTGCGTGTGGAGCTTTGGTCAGGGCTAAATGGTCCCGTCTTTGTTTACGTTTAGTCTAGGTGGTCTTCGACATCATCCTTTCGTGTTTTGCTCATTTGCCTTCTTCTCTGTTCGACGAAGCACCATCAATTCCGATTTCGACGAGAAGCTAGTGAGATTAGGCCTCTCCGTTCTATCTGAACGGATCTGGGATGGTTGTCCAGCACTCCTCACTACTTTCTTCTTGTGGACAAACGATGGTGATCTGATTCACAGTTCGTTGTTGCCAGCTATGACCGGCGGCTTCTTGGCCGCTGGCTTAGAGAGTGATTCATAGGCCAAGAGGTAGCATCGAGTTTTGCTCACGCCATGACCCGGGAAGTGCAGGAGAAAGACGACGTCGATACACCCAAGGACTTGTGTCATTTACCGTTTTTATAAGGATGGTGTTGCAGGGGTTTGACATTTGAATTATAGCATTGGCCTTGTCCTCCCTGAGGGTTTTTTTTTCGTATAGTAGGCAAACGTATTGCGGGTGAAGAGCCATTTCGCCGGGAGTCCCATCCACAAAAAGCCCAAACCGGCCGCCCCCCAGTTGGCCTTGTCCGCTTGCTCTCGGCGCGTGATCCCTTCCTGCTTCGTCTCGCACCAACTTCCCCACTGGCTTCGGCTGGCTGGCTTCTCCCTTCCCCTCTCCCGCCTGATTTTACTAACCGCTTCTGGGATTATTAGCGCGCGAGACCCACCGCTATAATAACGCCGCTAGCGACTACCCAGTGGCTGCTTAATACGACACGCATCGTGTTTCTGCCTGGCTGTTAGCGCGGCCGGCTACTAGCTCAGCTCAGCTAGGGTTAGGGTTTGCGGGGAGCGCATGCGCCTGGGATGATGACGCCGCAGCGGTCGCCGGCGGTGATGGCGGGGGGAGGAGGCGGAGGGGGAGGTGGAGGCGGGGGTGGCGGGACGCCGGCGCTGCACTACCTGAGCGGGCCCTACGGGGACACCACGTACACCAAGGTGTTCGTGGGGGGGCTGGCGTGGGAGACGCGGAGCGAGGGCCTGCGCGCGCACTTCGAAGCCTACGGGGACATCCTCGAGGCCGTCGTCATCACCGACCGCGCCACCGGGAGGTCCAAGGGATACGGATTCGTGAGCACGCTCTCTTTCTCCTCTGTTTCTTCTTTCCTGCTGTGTGTTCATGGGGAGGGTTTGATTCTCGAGCTGGAGTTTTGTGATCTTTTGGCCAGAGATTTGTGGGGATCAGGGTTTGGGGTTCAATTGGGGAGGTTTGTGGCCTCCGACGGTGGTGATCGGCTTGCAAGGCTTGTGAATTTGGGAGTTTTGCGGTACTAATAATAGAGCAAGCTCGGGGAGCTGGTTGCTTTGGGGCGGTAATAGGGAAATAATTTGACTCTGGCGCGGGGATTGATTGCCAAGCTTCGTTTTTCGTGAGACCTGGGGTGTCCATGTTGAAACATTTTTAGCTGCTTGGGAAGTTTTTAGGCCTCTAAATTGGACTAGAATTTAGGTGTTCCATCATGAATTGCGGAACTATTTGAAGTGAATGTGGAAGCAATTTCGTTTTGTGGAGGGAAATTTGGGGAATTGTGTTTCATGATGCTAATTTTCTCTTGATTTTGTGTGGACATGTGTACAGGTGACCTTCCGGGATCCAGATTCGGCGAGGATGGCCTGCATGGATCCCTATCCAGTAATTGACGGGCGGCGTGCCAACTGTAATCTTGCCATCCTGGGGCGACCTGGACCAGCTGTGCCTTTTGGTCAGTCTCTGACCTGGTTTTCTGTTGTCCCAGTTACAATTTTTTGAACTGCCAAATGTCTGTTGAGTTCTTTCCTGCAGCTTAATTTTTTGGCCAGCTGGTTTAATTTAAAAGTCAATGTCTGTTTCCAGTGTATTAGAGTTGTCATAATCATCCCATTTTCTATCATTTCAGAGTCTTACTTTTGGGCATGCCTGTTTGTTTCAACTGCTGCCTTGTAACTCACGATAGAAGAGAATAAAAGGATTTTTGTCACTACTCATGAAGTTAATGTGTAGTCCCATGCCCAATTCTTCAGTGTCAGAAGGCTAAACTGCAAAAATGGTTATGGGCTCAACAATGAAAAGAAATGTGAGTTATTTAAAACAAATAAAAGAAAGAAGCTTGAGAGCTACTAGTCATATGCTAGATGTTTGTGAAGCTTTAGTGCATTACTTGAATGAAGGGAAGATTAGGTAACAGACAGTGGACTGCTCATGAGTTGGTGGCTAGTAGAAAGTGTAGGACAATCATATTGGTTTTTGGATAAGAAAATCTTTGATTACAAGTCAGACATCTTTTGCATAGTTTGCAACTTGCGATGAAAGATGTTCATAATCACAAACACAAACACAAACAGTTTACCCAAACGCAAGATCTTTGCTTCTGATGGAATGCACTTTTACAATAGGAGGTTGTAACATTTGCTAAATTAGCTTGAAAAATAATTATTGTACTGTACCACTATTAGTTTTCTTGGAAGATCAAAATAGGCAGACTAGTACGCATCCAATAGAATGGCCAAATTTTATGTTGAGATATTGCTCCTGGACTCCTGGTCGATGGACACTCATAAAATGTTTGTGCTTATAAATTTAAAATTTTATGAGTTTGTTCTACATTTATCTTTGGCAGGACCGAGTAAAAGAAATATAGTTATTAAGTTATCTTACTGGTTTATGCTTTTACTTTTTTAGGCTCTTGTGTGTATATTCAATTATTGTAATAGTTTTCCTCCTTTTTAATGTGGTTATTATAGGACCTATAAGGCCGGTCATGCCATACAATGGAGGTGCGGCGGTTCCAGGAGGCATGTATGTACCAAGCCCAACATATCAGCAATCCCCCTACAACTACTCGCAGGCTCTTGTGTACCCCCCTTATGGGTAGGTTAGCTGTTCATTCGATGCATCGTTGGCAAATATCATGCACAGCTGACGATATGATCTGTTAGGCTGTCTGGCACACTGATTAAAGCTGTAGCTAGTCTGGAATTCTATGCTTTACAGCATTGCCAGTCTATATGATGTTGTCGTGCTAGACTATCTGCTTATTTCCAATTGAACAGCCTGGCTACTGCAAATAATAATCCATTGTTTTTGTCATTGCAGGCCATCAACATATGGACCCGAATACTTGTATCCACAGGTTGAGAACTCGTCCATAACTTTATATATTGGTTCTATTATTTTTGCTTTTGCTAATTTATTGTATTTTTAGCTTTGTAGAATGCCTATGGTCCATATGTTGGACAACAGTATGTCCCGGTGTATGGTGGTCCCAGAACAGTAGGGCCAGCGGTTTACCCGTATGGGCAGTTCGGCCAACCTGTACCAAGTGATCATTCTTATTCACCTGGCTATGTGCCAGGTCACCTTCTCCCACTATCTAATCAAAATGCTGCAAATGCGCGTGCATCAGCGGTTCCGCAACAATATCCTCCAGGTAAGAAATCAGTTGGTGATAGTTGACAATGTCTTGCACACAACTACGTTGTATTCCTCGAAGTTCTAACACATGCCTCTTTTGTGGAAACAGGAGCTCCACACCCTCAGCAACAGCTCTTGCTCCCTGCTCGTGTGCAACAGTTCCCACCAAACAACGTCTCCGAACAAATGTCGGGATGACAAAAGGGATGCCAGCGACAAATTGGAGGTGCGTTAGCCTTGGTCAAACAAACTACAATTCCTGCCTGCCAGGCTGTTGTGACATCCAGCCTTCCTTGTTTGCAGGTATCCTCTAGTCTGCAGCAGGACTAAGAACAGCAGTACTGCTAATTGGGCGGCGTGCTTCTTTTCTTGCAAACTGTCTTCTTTTGCATTCTTAAAGGTTGGCCACTACATTGATCTTAACATTGCCATTAGTTAGCCCTTTTATTGGAAGTGCTGCCTGGGCTGAATTATATTATTTCTCACTCTATTTCAGGTTGTCCTTATCCATGGTTACTTGCAACACTTATAATGTGAATGTTAGGCCGCTCCGTTGGATGGGGCGGGAAGCACAGAGCAAGAGCTGGAGAATGAAACCACTCTTGCTCTGTCCAGTCAGTGTCTTGTACATTCTCCATCCCCTGCAGGAATTCTGATAGCTGGTGGTCTGTGCCTGGGGCCAAACTGGATGCCCGAAAAGGAGTTCGGACATCCAACATGTGTATAGTAGTAGTAGCTCATGTAGGGTTCAAATCTTAGAACAGTTCAATTCTTTCGGTCGCATCTGGTTCATGCTGTGTATATCCATTCTCGTCCTTCTCGTGTCATGTGTGAATGTGGTTGTATAGGTCTTTCAGTGTCATAGTGTCTTTCTATTGGCTGTGTAAATTATTATCCCTAAACTGAACTTGCATACCAGTTACATCACCGTGTAATTAAATAAGGCCAATTCTACCCTGTAAAAATAATATGATTCGTTGCAAGTTGCAGCGCATGGAAGAATTGCAGTTGTCTACATGGTTCAAATTCAAATGCTCTCAACAAACAGCTTACCTCCTGAAAAAGTAATGAAATAAAAATGTTTATTTTCACCATGGTTTACTTGCACCTCATATTACCCAGTTTTGGCTCAAAAGTGCATCCAGCTGAATTATCTGCTTTACGTGCATCCTCAAATGGATGATCAAAGAGATAGTGTTGCAATGTCATTAATTAAGCACATTTACCATATGCAGTGTTAAAGCAACGGATATGCATGGGGATTTTTATATCCTTTTAGAACTATGGCCAACAATAAGTACATGGGGTAATTTCAGACGCAAGGGTGAAGCAGTGATTTCAAATCCAAAGATTGATTTGTCTCCCTCCATTTTTATTTACTTCGCATATTAGCTTTGTTTCAAGTCAAATACTTTGTAAACTTCGGCCAAGTTTATACAAAAATTTATTAACATCAACAATACCAAATCAATACCATTAGAATCATCATTGAATATATTTTCATATCATGTATATTTGTCATTGTGGATATTTAGATTGTTTTCTATAAACTTGGTCAAACTTTACAAAGTTTGACTTACGTCAAAGCTAATATGTTGAGTATATGAAAATGGAGGGAGTACTCTGATAGCTCACATAATACTCCCTCTGTTAACAAATATAAGATGTTCTAACTTTTTTTAATATATATATATATATATATATATATATATATATATATATATATATATATATATATATATATATATAGACACGTTTTAGTGTGTCACTCATTTCGGTCCATATGTAGTCCATATTGAAATATCCAAAACATCTTACATTTGTGAAGGGAGGGAGTAAAAGGATTTGGCAGAGTTGAGAAATTTTTAGGTGCGCAACATATTTTTGTGTGTCCTCCAAGGCATCCATGTGCCAAGGTCCTCATAGCTCATCTGCCTAAACAACAGCTAACCACTGTAACATTTCATCCGTTTACATGAACACTGCACTATGTTTATATATTGACAAAAAGAATTACAAACACAACCTACTGTGGATCAAATCATAAGAAAAACAGGACATTACAAAAGCAATCATACTTCAAATGGTTTTCTCTAGTAACACGGCTGATGCCGTGGCACGTGTTACTATATACAGTTTGCCCCCAGTTCAAGGTGACGCTATCGATGGAATGGGCGCACACGAAACCCTTCTGCATTACAGGGTCATTAGAAATTACCTCAGCGCATACCAGGCTCAAAAGAGTGCCAAGTCATCAGGAATGATCCTCTGGCCACATGTTCAGATGATAGAGCTCATTAGCTGAAGTGGATGTAAGCAAAAATGTATTTTCCTCTTTATGCCTGATATCTGGACTAGTAATATGCACTGCAAAAGTTAGGACATACGCAGATCAGAGTTGTTGATAACATATGTGTAGCGCTATATGGAAGTGGTTAGAACTAGGGAGAATCTTGACCTTGAACTCCAGGATCTTGAAGGGCTCATTCAGGATGTCAGAATGTTGACACAAAATCGTGCGCCTAACAGGACAGGAATGTGCCATTATACTTCTATCATGGGGCCTATTGATGATTTGAAGATTTTATACAGCGCGTGTTGAACATCTCCAGAGCTATGCTCGCAGCGAATCAGATCAATCAACAGCGGGAAAAAGCGGGGCAGTACTCTCCTAAATGAATTCTTCTCTAGGTTATGCAGTAACTGCATCGCTAGAAGAACCAACGGGGTCCTAGCAGACAGCTCCTCTTGCTTGGCAGCGCCCAGTGGCACTATGGAATGTAAAGTTTGATTGCCGTGAGAAGCTTCATCAGATGGTCCATTCCCGGCGCACTTCAGATATGTCCGCAGTATTTTCTCACAGGCATCAAGTAGTCGTGTTTCTATGTCCATGTCTTCCGATAAAAATGGATACCCATGGAGCACAGCTTGGAGAAGCTTGAGGTAGCTTTGGTATGTCTCATTCTCGAAATGGACAACTGCTGGCTCAGATGCCTCCAGAAGGGAACATGCTTTATGGAATTTCATCTGTAACGAAGAGTCTGAGCTCACTTCACTTGCATGAGTTGCAATACTTGATATCATCTCCAAAAGAATGCTGATGTGCTCAGCATGAAGATATTTTCCCTGCTCCTCGTACAATTTAATAATGCCCTGTGTACAAGGAAAAAACTGAGTATGGTGTGGGAAGAATGGAAGAGAAAAAGACTTGATTGTCGGGATCACTACAGCACAAGACCTTAGGTATTACCCAGTAAAGGAAGATATTTAGCGGTAATTGCCTTTGGCTCCTAGGTGCATATGCACCCATTGTCGAAATACACATTTCGAAAAGTTGAAAAATTCGGAACAAAAATCCCGCGTGTATATCCGGACATTTTATGTGTGTGCACAAGGTTTACTTCAACACAACTGACATCAATAAACTCCCTTATGGTAGAACCAAACTGTCCCATAGAGGCACTTGGACCTAATTTGATTTAAAAGGGTGCCATGGGGGAAATGGGAAAGCACTCTATTCAATGATCCTCAGAACCCCCTATTATCCTAACAATCTCCTCTCTTTGTCCTAACAACTCATTATTCTACTCTGCTCTTTCAGAAGTCGGTGTCTAATTGAGGAGAAAACCAACTAGGCACTAGCTATTAAGGCTAATGAATTCTAAGACACCTGTGTAGAAAATGAATCAAGCCTATTCCAGTCCATCTAGCCAGATGCCCAAAGCCAAACTGTGTAAAAGATCAAATAGGTCCTTATATGTTTTTGCAATTTACCATCCAAAAAGGATCTCTAAATCAAAATTAAAGCATACACGAGTATGAGTGTCTTAGCAAGATTACATGAGAACAGAGTGTTGCTCAGTTGGCTAGGTGCATGAGTGAAAGACAAGCCCGCCTGCATTTGGTTCTAGGACTCCATAGGTGGCTCACAGTTGTCTCGTTTATATAAAAAAAGAATAGGCGCTAGTCCCCGTAGATCTAGGCAAGATAATGTAAATTGGTCCGATTTGATTAACAAAAAGCAAGTACCTGAACGATTAAGAGTATTAGGGCCATATGATTTTTCAGTTTGACAATGGCGTAAGAAGTTGTCTCCATATTAGCTTCGTCTTCATCGTTGCTATAAATTTCATGATCTGAATAGTGATCAGCTTCCGAATAAGATTCCATTCTATCTGGAATGTCGATGTCTTGCATCATCCTTACAATTTTAGAGAACACAATAAAGGTTTGTGTTGATGATTCTTTGAAGCAGAGAAGAACATCCTTCCATTCCTCCTTGGAAAGTTTACTGCCAACTCCCTCCGCCAACCGTAGCAAAGCAGATACACCGATGGTAGCAGAGTGTTTATAGGGACTTCTGATGAAATACGCAACAATAGATGCAACTCTTGCAAGTTCTGGCCGCATCACGTCAAAGAAATCAACAAATAAACCCACTAGAGATTTCACTGCCAATGTTTGTGTTTCAAGAGTTGAAAAATCACCCTCGGTGCCGTTTGATGTTAAGGTCTGATCATTGACCCTAGACCTTTGATTGCTAAACAGAGGATAAACAACAGACTCTAATATACTGGTCCAAAAGGACTGAGAAAAGAGGTGCCCATGATCCTTCAGAATATCAAAAAGCACTCCTACAGCACTTTTCCCAATGGTCAGCCTTGGATCAGTTGTCAATCTGGCTAAACCTGAAAAGGCAAGAAAACCAAAAGGAAAAAATAAATATTTATCAATTTATCTTAAAATTCTCTATGTTTTCATATTTTTCATCTAACAAGGTTCACACTGCATACATAAGTAACTAGCACTTCCACAAATGAAGAAGTAGTGTTGTACCTTCAAGGAGAGGAACCCAGAAGGAAACATAATCATTCTTGTTCACAATGGCATTTCCTTCTGACATGTCTGAATTCCTGGGTCCATCGGCACCCTTATCTTGACAGACAAATCCTTCGTCGGCAAGTTTAACAGCACAGAACCGGAGAAATGCAATAGCATTGAGACTGGCCTCGCTATTAAATTGGCTACTTGTAAATGCAATAAGACATTGGACACAATCTGTAAATGTTGTGGCATCTGTCTCGGTTATGTATCGAAAGTAGTCACGGACAATTCTTTCCATAGTCCCAAATGCCACTAGGACAGTACTCTTCGTATCATCAACCGCAGCAGAAGTAAAAACCTGGACATTGACAAATAAAAAACAATGAATAACATTGCTAGCTTTATTTTTCATGGACTAACCACATTAACTCCAGATGTGAACTTATCCAAGGCACTCTAAGTAAACTAAAATTAACCAATGAAACAATACATACCGTAAAAACACCCTTCCAGCCAGATTTTATGTTGTTAACTCGACTTAGGACCATCTGTGAGACACATCGAACAATTAGCTCACGCACTTCTGGAACATTACTCTTCTGCATAACAACCACGAAGGGTTGAAGGAACTCATTTTGGAAGTTATAGTTTGCCAGTTCCTCTCTTTCCAAAAACTTCATTGCTAACTGCCTTAGAGAGTCCATTACAAACATTGCAACAGAAAGATTTTCTAATAATCCGACAGACACAAAAAATTCTGATAGAACTTTCCAAATTCGAGACCACACCAAACGTATGCGGTTGATATTGTAATGCCTGCACAAACAAAATCCAGAATTAGACTAGCTAAGATTACTGAGTCATGGCTATTGTATGCTACTTAAAACTGTTGGTTTTATGTGTGGATCTCAAGAATTTTCTTACGCGATCTCTACTATTTTTGTAAGGCAGAAGATACGAGGATCTGACGGAGACTGTAACTCAGTCATTGAGACCTTGCAAAGAGCTTTCACAAAAGCAACAATGGCATCACTGTTTAACCTTTGACTATGGGCAAATATATGATTCAACTCAACAATGCCTATCTGGTCCAGCAAATTTATGTTTGATATGAAATTATTGATCTGTTCAGGAGTAACCAATGCTGAGGCACTGGTTTTTGCAACAGTGCTATCATAAGAACCCCCTCTAACAGCAGCCATCACGGCAGGATTCTGAAGAGCATTGGCTCTCTTTGAAGGCAGAACAGAAGTAGACATCTGATTTTTTCCTTCTGACTCAACCATAGGCACTGTCAGAAATGAAGCATCAGTAGGTACCCCTTCTCCAAGCAAATGTAAATGTTCAAACCGTGATAAACATGTTAGCACGTGCTCCCAAGCTTCCTGCAAGTAATTTCCATCTTCGATTGCGATAGAAATTATAGCCTGTTGAGAAAAAAAACAAGTAAATACATCATTCAGCCACTTTGAAACGTCAGATATGTCTAGCTGCTTACCGGTGAAGTATATCAAGAACAAAAAATGGACTTCTATCACCAACATTGAGTATACCCTCCCAAAATAAGGATTGTTCAACAAAAATTGGCATATTTAATGGTAATCATTTTTTCAAAATAACATCAAGAACATAATCCATAAAAATCACTTTTCAGACGGTTCAAACTCCAATATGCTCAATGTCAGAAGTTTTATTATGCTCACTAAAAATCAGTCACAAAAATCCTGCAGCAGCACTATTTGTAGGTGAGCAGTGGGTGGTTGCAATTCTGACCCTCACTGTGTTTTAAGTTTGTACTTTTCGCTTTCAAGGAGAGCACTGAAATACCAAAAGGGGCAAAAGGACAGTAGATTATATGATTACATTAAACACCAAACCATATGCAAGATATGAAATTTGTATAAGCTGGTGCAACCAATTTGCACACAAGGAGAGTGGCAGAAGTAAGAATTTGCAAGTAACAAGCTAGAATATATATGATCCAAAGATCCATAGCATCAAATATGCCTAGTTTTGAAGAACTGATTAGATAAAGAAACATTTAATAAATTTCACAAAAGCAATATGCTTTCATTGACATCCTACCTTAACAGCGTCGACATTCTTCTGTTTCATGTCTGCAGCAGAATGGAGGGATGTGAATTTGGCTATGGATGTCAAAAAGGCATCTCTCTGTGTCTGCAGGCACATAACAGAGGTGACATGCACTGCCGATCTTAATCCAATTAAACACTGTGATGTAGCAGCCTTGTCATCACTTTGGTCTAGTGTCACACTGAACGCAGCCATCATAGGAGCCCAACAGGCCTCCATCATGAACCTTAAAATGGTTGCATCAGCAACAATATAAAACACAGACCTGCATGCACAAGCTTAAGTTCATAAAGTATCATTCAACATATAAGTATCCTAACAAAGATAAAATATGCTGATCTTACTCTGATTTCCCATGCTTTGCTTTAAATTTCTCATGTATGTGCTTAATGAGCAAGTCATTTGCGCCGTGTGCCTTGTCTTCTGTCAGTCCCCAATTGACAAGGTTCATAATGTTGTCTAAGCCTAGAAGCTTACTTACGCTGTTGGTTTGCTTGGTTTGTGCAGCTGAAGAATCAGCACTCATTTTGATCTCATTGCTAACAATTTGGTCGTACAATGTACTTAAGTAAGCTTCAGGTAAATCCTTCCCATCATCAATTCCCCTGTTATTGCGCATAAAATCAGCCTTAGACATCTGCACAGAAAAAATCTCCATTATTACATGTGCGCCATTCCCGGATGATAACATAGGCAGATTTGACTTGCCTTATCCTTCACCATGACACTGTGAGCATCAGTGTTTAGCAAGATCACAGAATAAGCAAGAATATAAGCGGTATCTGCACTGGTAAAAACATTTGGGTTGCATTTACAGAAGCGTTCAGCAAATTTTTCCATGATCCTGTCAATTTTCTGTGCTTCCCCTGGTAACCTGAAACCTCGCAGAAAGAATCTAATTGCCTCACCGAAATCCAACCCTTTAAAGTTTAGTGCATCCACATAGGCATGCATGACTTTGAGAGGAAACTCGTCTCTTTCACCCAAATAGTCTCCAACCATTGTTGCATTTAAGCCAGCAGTGTTTATCAAGAAAGAAGCCACATCTTCCGGGGACTGGCCTAACTTCTTGCTTCGAATGAGAAAGTCAATACCTTTGGAAGGTTTTCTGTTAAACAAGGCAATTCCTTTCTGCAGAAGGAAACATAGGTCTGTCAGTAATCCTTTAAAAGAAATAGTTTCTACCTCAAGAAATAGAAACAGTTAAAAGTAGGCAATCATTTACACCTGAAGTTCTATTTTGTAAGCACGTCGTTGCTCAACTGAAGAAGAATCAGATACGTCAGAGCTACTAGACTCAGATTGCAGATCATAATCCATTCCTGTCCCTTCTTCTCCATTATGCATATTATGATTGTCCACCGAACTTAGTACTTCAGAATTTATAGGGAGAACCTCACCAATTCTCAGCTGCTGGTCCATCCATGAACCCATTGATTTGATAACAGTTGCAAGGCACTTGACAGATTCAATTCGAAATGTTTGGTCTTGTGCAACAGTTAGTGTCGTTGTTGATCCATCAGGGACACCTAAAGCCGTCTTAAGTAGTCCGTTCACAATCCTGTAAACAGCGATGGAATTAAATTGCTTTGCTGTGAAATTAGAAAGAGAACGCCATATTTCTTTTCCAGTAGAAATTGCACATCTAGAACTGTATACTGTACCCTTTGTATAGACTGTTCACTATATTTGATAAGAACGTAAGAATACAAATGTATCTTATTAACCAACGCAAACCTTCATCAAGAATAAAGCTAGCGTACCTTTCAAAAATGTTCGGTGCATCGACGTCACAATCATAGTTCACAAAGATATCAATAATAACCTGAGGTTCTTTACAAATCTTCTCCAGAAAGTTTAGAACTGTCATTTTTTGCAAAAAGCTAGGCTGAAGAACATTTTCAAGAACCCTTAGGACAAGCATAGGAAAAAATATTCCAATTTCCTCCTTCAAACCAGATCTAAACCTTAACAGAAGACCCATAAAAATGGAGCACAGAAGCTGGAAAACACTCATTGCTGACATGGCACTGTTCTTCAACAAGGATAAACAAAGGTACTGCTTGATTGCTTCAAGATACCTGAACAAGCAGAAGAAAAAACAGTGATATTAGTAGGATGCCCTTTCTAGTGAACCCTGCGCTCAATTCAATTTGGAATGATCAAATGACTTAACCAGCTTCCATTATGGAAATTTTGGTGTGTGATTAGATGAAACATTTCAGTACGAACAAATACTAAATTTTAGATTATAAATCAGCAGTACTGATTATTGTGTTAGTTCCAACTGCCAAGTGGCATCATCAAACTCGCTCCATCACTGTCTGTTATCAATGCATAGGCTATGTAGCTCTGATATTCGCTTCTCAGTTCTCACCCACCTGCTTGGTGTCCTTAACGACCTTTTTGTATGATTCTTTGCTGGGAGAACCACAATGAATTGAATTAGAAGTTACTGCAATACAGGCTGACACTGGATAATCTGGTTCATTATTCATCAGTACTAACATGAGGTTCAGGCTCTAGTACAAAGGAACATAAATCAAATATCAATAGTTCCAACATTTAGTATGTTCATGAATTCCTCGATGATCTAGAGCATACATCATCCAAAGTTCCAAACACAACCAAATTCACGAAACAAGTACCAATGGTTCCTCCATCAGACAAATCCTCATGTGACCAACCCATATGGCAGTTAGGAGTGTTCAATCATGATCTGAACACGAACAGTGAAAAAATTGCCGATCAGTGTTGCGGTTCATTTCCCTTCATTAACCTCATACGGCATGGCAGAGTCAGTAAAAAATGACAAGTGGTTTTCATGGGTTGGATTAGAACCGTTTTTGACACCCCTGATAGCAGTCGATCGAGCAGATTACACAGAAACAACACGCGCAGATGTCATCTCTATAGAAAAAATGACACGCTACTCTCCTGGGTTTTTTTAACACTCACTGTTGGCAAGTAAAGTTTACTCCATCGTCCATTTTAACCTCTCTCCCCTACCCCTATCATTTTGGCATGTTAAGATTCAGTAGAACAATAATATTTATGGAAAGAGGGAATGCAATAAATTCTGATGTATATAATTAAAAGAAGCATAGCTATGTGTGCATACTTCTCATTTGTCTTCCAGAACGTGCCGGCATTGTCGACGACCATCCTAAGTAGCTCAAGTGACAACACCTTCCCCCGGAGAAGTACTGGATCATCCGGGTTATCCGGCGTGGCGAACTTCATGGACAGTTTGCAGAGGTTTTTGAACAACGCCAGTCCATCCTCCCTGATCCTGCTCATGCTCTCATCCTCCCCGCCTCTGTCCCCCTCGGCCGGCACATGCGCGGCATCCTCTGGCGCGTCGCTCCCCTCCATCGCCTCATTTATGAACGTCTGCGCCGCCTGCACGACGCTGGAGTCGTTGAGGCTGCGGTCGGAGAGGTCCATCATGTCGGCAGCTGAGACGGTGCGCACGCGGACGTCCATGGCGTCCGCCTCCACGCGCGCGAACACGACGACCAGCACCTGCGCGAGCGCCAGCTTGGCGCAGAGCTGGTTCCCGCCGCTGGCGCTCCCCAGGTACAAGTTATAGCACGCCTTCACCATCTGGCCAAGGCACTCCCCGCGGACGGAGACCGAGGGGCAGCGCGCGAAGGCGACGAGCACGCGGAGCGCGGCGATCTCGAGGGCGTCGTCGCCGAGGCCGCCGCACGAGAGGACCGCGGCGAAGAGCCTGGAGACCGGCGAGGGGTCGGATGGGGCGACGTCGCCGAGGAGAAGGCGAAGGGAGAGGAGGCTGGCGACGCACTCGAGAGCGGGCTCGGCGACCTTGGGGGAGCCGGGATCGAGGGCGAGGAGGAGCGCCTGGAGCGCGGCCTCGGCGACGGGGGCGGGGAGACCAGGGATGGGCGAGGCGGAC